GCATTTGAAGCTAAAACCACTCTTAGATTAGATCAAACAGCAACTATATACTTTGTGATGTAATGTAAACATGTTGATTTTCTTTGTGAACTTCAGATTATTGAGTGAGTGTTAAAGAAAATGCCATAAGTTACTTAAATCAGAACTTCTTATAGTTACATTTTTTTATGTTACATGTTATGTGACTTTTGTTGCAAAAAAAGTCTTTTGTTTTCCTCAAAGACATGTTTCCAAGTAAAATTGAAGCTGTTCCCCAGTGCAGAGGTGAAGTCAGTGCTAACTGTGGGGCAGTACCTAATATTCACTGACACAGTGAAAACCCAACCATGTCTTTATTTTAAAACTTCCTGCAGTAAAATTACGATGTTGGTCACTCAGAGCTGGGGGTTTTCTTTATTCATCCAGAGGTTAGGCAAACATTTCATCTCTTCAGGGGAACACTTATCCACCACATGGTTAATTTGTGTGTGTGTGTTTCTGAGTGGTAAACTCCATGTTTCTGTTGATTGTTGCAGAGCGCCTGGCCGCAGATTTAGTTTTGGCCACAGAAATAATGTGTGAAATCCTTTCTAACTGTAAAAAAAATGCTTCTAGGAAATGTTGAGCTTGAGAGATCACACTTACAGTAGATTTCCTGTAGTGCTACATAACTTGAAAGTTACTACCAAAGACAAATGTGAATGAATGTGAAAGCACTAAAGAGCTAAAACAGGATGATGGGTTAGGGTTTAGAATGGTAAACAACAGACAAAAGGATCACTTTTGTCTTGTTGGCTTAAAAGTTTCAAGAGCAAGTGAAAATAAACAAAATTTAAAGAAAAACAGATAGTGTTGAAGAACAGGCAAATGGACAAAGGAGATGTTGACGATAGAAATGAGGACATGGAAGGAGGCAGGAGACGAGGTAAGATGAAGACAGCAGCCCCAAAGAAGGAGAGTACTTTTCTCCAGTACTCCTCACATACACGGTTACTGCGTGAAAGGGAAACTATGAGAGCAGAGGAAAGAGGAAACCAAACACAGCCTTTCTGGCGTCTCTTGTTGGACGGTTCTTGTGTCACAGTCCTGCAGGTCAGTTTCCAACCTTTTAGGTGCAGATAAGTCCTTTTCTAAGAAAAGTCCGTTATTACACAACATGTCTGAGTCATTAGAGAAGGGCCAGGAAAAATTAATAAGACTCAGACACGGGCTGGTTTTATCCTTCCGTGCATGTGTTTATGTTAAGTAATGATAAAGACGTGGTGATGAGTAGAAGGTGAACAGAACTGCTGACTAAACCCACGGAACACAACACTGTCGGTGTTTCCACTGGATTTTCCTCCATTGCATAAAATAAGTGAATTATTGTGTGAGCGTCCGCCGTTAGGAAAATTTGTGTTTACCTGGCTTCAAAGTGTGAGTCAGGTGAAGGCACAAAGATGGAAAAATTCAGTGATTTTCCTCCAATAACAACCCGTTCTACCGACAGTGAAGTCTAGGAAAGAAAGTGACCTGGAAGAGTTTGTTTTCTGCACTTATAAATATAAAATATTATCCTCTCAGTTTCTCCATGTCCCTCATTCAAGCATTTCTCTATAAGAATTAATTATTTTTTTGTATATCTATATAGCTTTTAAAGCTAAGTTTCTTTTGGCTATAAAAAAAAACTGTTCATGATTTTAAAAAAAGTGTTCATTTTAAGGACATTTTGTTATCAAAGAATGCTGGTTCAAGTCTGATGGTTTGTTGAACAAACATCAAAAACTCCACCACTCCCTACAGTACGTTTATTATAACGAAGCCCAAAGCTCTGGTTCTACAGATGGGTTCAATTGGTGAGTTCACTTTTTTCAGTCTGGAAGGGTTTTGGAAAGTAATTTAATTTGTTTTTTTATCTGTTAACAAATTCTATAATTGTAGCCTTTAGGCTTCTTTTCATTTCTAGATATTTCTACTTTTTAAAAAAAGGATATTTTGCTGCATTTGTTACATTCTAACAGCTATTAACACACTACATTTACATTTTGACTTTACCATACCGTGATGGGTTTTTTCTTTTCTTTACTGCAACTTTTACTCATGTTTTTGCCTTGTTTTTAAATATTTTTATAGTATTTCTTTTACAGTATTCTTTGAGAAATTTCTAAGCATTATAAGATATTTTAACAGAACCATGGTTCCGTAGTGTGGCGGTTATCACGCCTGCCTTACATGCACAAGGTCCTGAATTCAGGAACCACATACTCAATAGTGCCTCCTGTGGCAGCTAATGTGGGTTGCAAAGACTTACACTGTGAATTTCCCAAATGTGATATAAATAAAGTACTTCAATATAATGTTTTTTCATTAACCCTCTGAAGCAGGGGTGTCAAACATACGGCCCGTGGGCCAAAACTGGCCCACTTGGTGTTTCAATATGGCCCGCTTGAAGAATTTTGGAAATAAAAAAAAATACAAAAACACTTGTTGTTGTTGAAATGTTTAGTAAAATTATAGTTCATTATTATTAATGTATCAAATAATAATATTCACATATACTTAGGATTTATTTAATATACTTGTATTTCTTTGCATGAAAACAAAAGGGGAAAACACGGACTTAATCATTGTACTGCTCCGGCCCACTACCCTCTTTCTAGTGGATCAGACTTGGTGTGAAAAGATTTTAAAATTGTGGATTTCACTGTAACACAAACCGGAGATGTCTCCACTCCCTCACACCAGCGAACAGTGAACCAAGGACAGGGTTAAGTTTGCTCTCAGTGAAACTGGATTAAAATTTGCTTCCACTGGATTCACACCAGACTATTCACTGGTCTTTTCCAACACATTGTCTCTGGCCGACCGTGCCAGAGGGTCTAAACCGCAGAAGAAAAACTCACACATCAGCAAACTCTCTGATGAAGAGAAATGGAAAAAATAACTTCAGCATCTCTTGGACAGATCACTGACTAACTGCAGGCTGTGTTTACAGCCAAAGTAGCACAAACTGTTCGCTTCACAGAGTGGATCCCAGCAACAAGACACTGAACACCAAACAGAACCTCGAACCTGTCATTCTGTTTGTGTCATGTGCAGCAGATGACATCACATCAGATTCTTTGCATTTCTGGGTTGTTTATTTTTTGTAAACCAGATTGTACGTGCTGTAGCTGAGTTTATTCATCAGCATGTTTTGTCAGTTAACTTGATGTTGGTTTGGGCCCAAAATAAATAGGTAAAAAAAAACACCTACATTTTAGAGTGAGTATTGTGTGTAAGATATTTATCAATGTTCGACAGATGCAAATCTTTAAAGTTGACTGCGTCTCTGTGGACAGAAAATGTCAAAAGTGGCCAAGAGTTTCCACATAAGATAAACAACTGCAGAGCAGAATGCTGTACATTCTTTTCACATCGAATATTCCAGTTCTCTCAGGTTATCGAACGGAAAACTTTTAGCTAAATATTGGTGCTGATAGTCAAATGTGAAAAGTAACAAAAATATGTACTCAATTTACTGTAATAGAGTCGTTTGTTAAGTAGTAGTAGTTTTATTAGGTATTCTTTACTTTTTTACTTTTTTGATGGGTACTTTTACATGAGTAGAAGTTGGGCAAAGTAAAGATACTTTTACTTAACTACATTTTTTGGTACTTTTTCCACCTGTGCTGATTATTTACTGACAGACTCCACACTCAACACCACATGATCTCATTCTGGCCAAGTTGCCCCACCCATACTGCCAGTCTACCCAGGTGAAGAGCCAGCATTTGCTCTACCTGTAGGTGGCTGCTGAAATGCCATCATGAACAGCCCAAAAGCCAAGCACAGCTGCTCATATAGCACTGAAATAAATACATAAAAAGTGTATTTCAACCTTGGTGTCGGGATCCCACATGGGGTCACCTAGGATTCAGCTGATGGACTCAAACCTGAAACCTTTTGGACCCAAGTACGTTTCCGTAACCACCACACCACCACCACTGGAGTGTCCATAGAGCCACACCTGATGGACTCAGTGGTATAAAATTAAAACAAAATTAATAAATAAATGATTTACAGCAAACCCAAATAGAAGGCTACACCACCAAACATCACCAAAACAGGCTGCATTTTATCGGTAGGCGTTGTTCAAGAATTCAACACATTTTTTTGCAAATGTGCCATCAATAAAAGTGGTTTCACCTCTTAAATCATCGTACAGAAGTCGGTCAGGAAATCCCAGTGAGGCCCAGCTTCTTAGGAAGTCGCCTGAAGCTGAGCTTCAACAGTGTTTGGTACAATAACATCCGAGAAGAAAATGGCATCCGACAATCTGTAAATCTGAAGTTTATTTTGAATTAACTATTTCTGTAGTCATAGCTTTCTTCTTCTTTTTTTGTTTTGTTTGAGTTTTTAATCTTATTGCTCGTTAGCAGAAGCCTAGCTTCTGTTGCTGTTTTAGCTTAATCTCCGCTGATGATCGCAGGGAGAAGGGTTGGAGAATGTGCCATAGCTCTGCAACATCATGTTAAACCAACACAGACTGACAAGTTATGTTTTCCCACAGGAAACACAATAGATTCAACTGACAACACACCAAAACACACACCAGACCATCACACTGACACACACACACACACACACACACACACAACTGTAGTCAAAGACACAAAGATTCCATCTGCCCTGGTGCCTCAATCAGCTTATCACTCTCTCACCGAACGACTGTCTCTGCTCTATCAGGCATCAGAGACACTGGAGGGATCCACCAACAGACAGCTTCTATCATAGTGCAGCGTTTATCTCTAGCACAGAAAATGATACTCCAAACCAGAAAAACAGGAAGCACAAATATGCCTTTACTGTACACCACAGTAAATAAAAGACTTAGGAATCAGTGACAGGGATTTACAAACTAAAGAAACATTCAAAGTCGACGTTGGATTTCACTACTTTCTGAATGGTGGGAAACATGCAGCTTTTACAACCCTTCCACTTCAAAACGTAATGTCTGTGTCAAACCATTCAAAGTCCAAACAGAAAATTCATCCACTTACCCAAAACCTGGCTTAGGCAGGAACAAGTAACCGTGAGACAATCATGCATGCAGGAGAGAGGTGTTTTCACCAAGGGCAGCAGGTGACACCAGTGAGACTGATGAACAGGTGATCACAGGACACAGGTGAGGGTGATGACACTGATTACCCAGGAGAGACACACACACACAGACCTGACAGCATCCTTTTACAACTTTTACCCGAGAACGATGGCCTCTGGCTCCACCCCTGGACCAGGAAGGAAGTTTGTGTATGTTTTTATTTTAACATGGTGTGTTGAAACAGACAACAAAGGGATACAGCACCATGTTGGTGATACTCCCCAGATGCAGCATAGTGCTGTGCAAGCTAGCACTAGCATTAACCCCTGTTGTGGTCTAAATCAGGGTCACAAACATGGTGCCTGGGGGTCACCTGGTTGCCCCTGTGGGCTACGTAAGGTGCCCGCGGGGTATTTTCTAAAAATAAAACTAGTCAACAAGAAGGTCAACAATTATACTGTTACTGTGCTTTTTGAATCAGTTCCACCTGCAATGATATTCAAATGGGTCAATGACGATGGTAAGAAAAGTATCTACTGTTATATGTTACTATTACTAAGTGTCCTTGAAGTAGCTCTCAGTTCCAGAAAGGTCAGTGACCCCTTGGTCTAAAGTGTTTTCTGTATGCAGGCAAAACCCAGTTCTCTGGAATAGTCTGATGTTCAAGGATGGTTTTTACTGATCCTGTTTTCAGTCTGTTTTTGTTCCAAACCTTTGAATCAGTGAACAGTCCTTACAAGAATGGCTGAATGAACCAAGTGTGTGTTTGTACTTTGACAGAGTGCCAAAGCCCAGCTGGTCTCTCAGTAAATAAGGACATATGGTGGGCTTTAGCAGAGACTAACAGAGGGGCACAGAGCACACGAGGATGACACACACACACACACACACACACACACAGAGAGAGACAGTGTTTGGAGTCTTCTCATCTGTCCTGAGAGATCACAGCTGGACACATGTTCTTCTGACCACAAATGAGACATTTGTCCTCTTTGACCCTTCACATCAGCCTGAGGAGAGAATCAGGAGGAGGCCAGACTTCAAAGATATAATGATGAGCTGTAGAAGAAATAAATAACAAAGGAATTACAGCTGAGTGTTACGTCAGGAGATCTGGAGGAATCACTGAACAACACAATCACAAAATGCAGTTTAACCTGTGATTCTCTGCACAGGACAAATATTCTCCATCTAGTAAAAAGTCATTTAGTCTGGACCAGAGCTCGGAGATGACATTTCTTCTCTACGTCGTCGTTCAATTCCCCCACCTCCACCACCACTCCCTTCTTCTTCTTCTTCACCACCCCCTCTCCAAGCTCAGCCTTCCTCCTCCTCCTCATCATCATCATCATCTACCTTCCTCCTGACAGATTCTGGGTCATTAATCCGACCTGTCTGGGAGTTCGGGCGGCTGCTGTCATGATGTCCTGCCTCAGGGTGCAGGGCAGCAATATTTATCATGTTCTACCATTTCTCTCTCTCTCTCTCTCTACTATTTTTCTTTTTTACCACCTACATTCTCTGAATCAGTCCACAGTGAGACCAGTAATTCACAAGGAGGATTTAAAGGAAGCCCTGATTTTACAGCAATGGAACTGGACCATGATTCCTGGCGAGTGAGTGGTCTGTGACCCTGGATGTAGGTGTGGATGTTGACATGTGTGTCGATGCAGAACTACGGACATGGAACAGACACTGTGTTCTCCCACCGTCAAAGGGATTATAGCATTACATGATGAGATTTAATATAATGTAATAATTAAACTGTTCTCTACATTCAGTATAGTTTGAATCCCCCGCAAACTGAGTTGAATTATTCCAGCTCCCAGGCATCTTCTTGTCATGTCTCCAAGAATTCTCTCTTGGGAAAATGTTTCGGTTATGATTATCCTAAAAAGCCAGCGTGATCCCAGGACATGTTGGAGGGGTCATATCAGGAACGCCTCCGTTATCCATAAAAGGAAAAAGACAAGATGAGATTATTTTAGACGTTTCGATGTTTTACTGGAATTTTCCCATAATAATCAGCCAAGAAACAGATGGACAGCAATTAGCATTTTACCAAGAGTTTCCTTGTATTGTCTTAACGCGCCATACGAACCATCCAATCTGGCCCCTGAGAGCTAATTATCTCTATCACTCCTAGTGGTTGACTGTGGTGTAGGTGACAGGAGCAAAGTGTCCTGCTCCCAAGGTGACTGTCCAGAATTATTCGGACCCTGCGACAAATATAGTCGCTGTAAAGCTTAATCATCGACTATTACTGTAAGGACCCCATCTACTGTAGTGTTAACAGTACATCCCTATAATCTTCAGTCTCCTTTTTGTTTTTAAAAAGATACCTTCTCACTACAGGCCCCTATTTCACGCCCAGATTTCATGCAGCCGTTGCTTTTGAACCGGGGTCTTTTGCACTAAAACAGGGTGTGAAGGGCGTCACCTCACCAGAGCCCACCAAACTCCAGACTATAACATGTAGTTACTGTACACAAAATCACCCCATACAGTAGTCAGGGCCTTATTAAAGAGAGAAATGTGCACGTGTGTGTGTGCGACCGTCAGAGCATGTAAGTAACTGTTGAACATGTTTTATGGCAACCTGGCTCGTTCACAAAGAAAGTTAACGGGAGCCTGCCAGTAAACACCTTCATCACGATGAGCCTCTTCATATACAAATGAGGATTCTGTTCCACAAAAGTATTAAAATAATATCATTTGCAATAAACTCCTAGGTCATTTCCAATGACATCATTGCAATTTTAAGTCTAAGACTGGCCACATTTTTTACTTTTTATCATTGATGACAGTGCAAAGTCACAGAAAAACATTCTTGGAAATCCATCTTCTACAGGGTGACAGTCAAAGGAAAGCATTTCAAAGCATCTCATCTCGGTTGGATGTGCTCTGCATCAATTATACACTAGATGCTGGAATGAGATTTGACTCACGGAACACCTGCCTGTGTTCACCTGGACCCTCACCAGAGTTTAGATCATCAACAAGACAGAACTTGGCAGCAGCATATCACACTCAATCCCAATACACAGAAGAAGCCGGGATGAAAGAGTTAATAATGAGAAAGTGAGCGAATGGAAATAAAATAAAAATGAAAGAACAGCTCTTTTCATTCTATATTGGGTCAACATTTAGCCTTTTTACAGTCATATACAGTCATATATACTCACCTGTAAAACACATTTCAATAACGTAGCGTTGACTACAGTTATTTTTGACATTACTTTAGCTTTTATGTAACATTTGGTTTATTTTGAAGTGACTGGATATCTGGGACATTTATTTTTAACTAACATAAAAGTAACAACACTTATTTTCCTCAGCATTTTAAGGGTCCCTGTAAGGATATCTGATTTAAATAATTATTCCTGTAATACACCCATATCAGCTTCTACTTTTTAAGAATATACTGTACAGAGTAATGACATATTTATACACATTTTTGGAAACCAGGAAGCTTTAAATGTTATTATTTGTGACAGTGATATTCCTCTACTTCTCTTCAGGGAATAAAAAGCCAGCAGTCAGGAACTTTTTAAAATATTTTTTATTTACTGTATAGAATACAACAATGGTAAAGCATTTCTCTTCACTTTAACTCTTTGGGAATCCAGTGCCAGATTCACCAGCACATTACCATCAGCTCAGTGTTGCTGCCGCTGTTTCCCTCCAGCGCTCTGATTGGTTAACACTGCAGGTGTACAGAGACATAAACCTCGACACAACAGCAGTTGCAGCACAGCCTGACTTCTGAGAGCGGCCCCGGCACACGTGACACGCAGCCGCCCCACTGTTTACAAACACTCCCGCATGTGACCGCTGCATCTTTGAGCACGTGTTTAACGTCATCCTATATTAACTGTACTGACATTGCACATTGTCATCCAATTTACAAAAGAAAAATCCAAAAAACATTAAATTACATTATTTCCGAATAAATATTGGTCCTTTTTTCGTGTTAGTATGTTGAGTCCATGTTCCTGAGACACTTCAAGAACATTTATACAACAAATATCCTTTTTTTTAATGGCTGGAGTTTCCCTTTTACCCACACTTTGATTAAGTCTCTGAAGGCAAACGCGTCTCTGTTCCACGCATACTTCGACCATCCGCCGATGACATCGTCGCTCATCACATGACTAAAAATGATTCTCTATCACATACAGTACAGACGGTGAACAGCCAACACGTGAAAACATGCATCGAGATGCAAAGGCACATCCACGGAGAGTGTTGCAGTCACATGTAGAGACGCGGCCGCAACACCCGCTGGTAAATGGACCTGAACGTGAATCTGTGCCAGAGGAATGCTTGTTACTGAGATGACACACAACTGAAGTAAACAACGAATACACGTTTCAGTCACATGCTGACAAACGTCCAGGTAATAACAGTCAAACAGCCCAGAAAGTGGGTGGAAATGGAAGTTTCACAGTATTAGTGTTGTCATCCTCTTCTCTCAGCTGCTCATGTAGAGCATATATCACAGACAAAGACATTGTCCTCACTCTCTTTCCATACGTGTGTGTGTGTGTTGGTCAGTGTGCGTGTGTGGCCAGCTCCCAGCTTGGCTTTGTGCTGCTGGACAAACACACATATAGAAAAAAAACAAAAAAACAATTTGAGTACCTTGAATGAGGAACAGAACAACATCCGCACAATCATTTAAACCAGTCTATTATTGCTTGTATATAGCAGTATTGCTTTACAAAATTGAGTGTAGTAAAAAAAAAGTTCAACAATTGTCCATCACTCCTGACCTGCAGCCAACAAAACACTTGTGTAATCATACAAAAAGTTCTCGTGCTTCTCTCCCCCCTCGGGTTTTATACATTTGAGACATTGTTAGCATCTCGCGCCTGACGGATGCCGTACAGCCACTTGATGACTCGAGCGTTCCTCTCAATGACAGAAATGCCATACGGGACACGTTCGCTGTCCCTTGCGGGCCTGCCGTCCTCGTCCTCCTCCCTTTCCCTGTCCACCTCGTCTCCGCACTCCGAGCTGGGCGTACTGACGCTGCGCAGCTTGGAGACCGACACAATGTCCGAGTTGGCTCTGGTGAAGCGCTCCACTCCGCCCATCCCTTCCACCTCCTCCGGGTCGAGGCCACAGTAGTTGAAGAACCGCTCCAGGTCGGCCGTGGCGCGAGAGTATCGGTCACTCAGGTCTGATTTAGAGCGGTGTAACGATGGGTGTTTGCGTGCAGACCCCTTGGAGCTGGCGTTCGATATGCGGGTAAATGCTGGGGACGCCGGTGGAATCACACCGGCCCGGACCAGCAGGGGACTAGGAGGCAGATAAGCTGGAGGGGAGGGCAGAGTCTGAGCGGACTTCAGTTGAAGCTGGGGTAGATTGTGTGGCGCTGTAGGAGGCGGAGGAGGTGGAACCTGTGGGTGAGGAACTTGACCCTGTGGAGTCTGTCTGGGTCTGAGATTGGGTTGCAGCTGTGACCTGTGGGGCTTCCTTATCTCGGCTTGAGGCCGAACGTCCACCCTGCGCACCATCACAGAGTTAGGAGAGTTGTAGGGCGCTGGAACCCCGATGCGCGTTGTCCGTGCTGGAACAGGTGGTGGACGTCTTGGGACTTCTGGTGCAGGGGAACGGAGACTGTTGTTGAGCGGGGACGAAGTGCATGAGGAGGTGGTAGAAGAGTTGGTTGTGCCATTATTATTTAAAGGTTTCAAGTTGTTAAGCAGTCGGCTGCTGCTCCTCTCCTGTTCTGCTGACAGGCTGCTGCTGATGCTTTTAGCTCCCGACGAAGGGGACGAAGATGAGGGAGAGGTAGAGGACGAAGACTGGGAACAGGGCAGTGGTCCGTCACGTACGTCATTAATAAGATTATTCAGAATGTCCAAGTTAAGTGCAGGCCCTCTTTTCACTCCTGAGCTCTCCCTTCCTCCCGCGTTCTCTACGTCCACACAGTAGTTGGGAACTTTACGTGCCGGAGGACTGCTCATCTGACACTGGAGCTTCATTCCTGTAGGAACTAAAGGCTTGCGTATGATTGGTGGTTTGATGGGAGCCTGACGAGTGAGGGCCACCTGCTGGCTCTTGACGTACTTAGCCTTGTCAGCCTCCAGACGCTCCACCGCACTGAGTTTACGAGCTGCGGGCTCAGCCTGTCGACGGAAGTAATCCGGACCCTTGTTAAGTATCCTGAAGGGCATGGCAGAGGTGAAGGGAACGCCGGCCAATCGGCCGTCAGACGGCCGCAGCGTCTCCACAGGCATGATGAACAGCCCTAGAAAAAATAAAAACAAACAAAAACAAATTAAGACTTTGACATCACGTCCAAAACATAACATTTATATAATAAGGAAATGCGTGAGAAGCTGAAAGAAAACATTCTTGTATGGTACATGTTTTATGTATTTTTCTATCCAATTAGACCTCTGTGATCTTGTGGAGGTGTATGGTAAACTAAAGGACACGTGGGTGAAGGATGCTGATACTGAGCATTGTCTTAGAGCGCCCACATGTTCTCTCTAAGCTTAAGAAAAGAGCTCTTTTGTATTTTTTCTTTTCTTCCCACTCTCCTCCCCCATTCTTACGCCGCTGCACCCTCACTCCCCGATCCCCCTTTAACTTCCTTACTGGTCTCTGTGCTGCTGCTCCTGCTGCTCTCACTTCGCTCCTTTCTTCTTCCTCCTTCCTCTTTGGCTCTTTTAGTCTTCTTCTTCTTCTTTTTTTTTTTTACCAACTGACAGCTGAGCGAAAGGCTACTTGATGGACAGGGTCAACCTGGGTCAAATTCCACACCAGGTCCGGCCAGACCACATCTATTAGCTCAGCCGTGACCCAGAAGGAAATCAGGCTGCAGATCGGGGTGCAGCTGAAACGGTAGAAACTCTTTATCCAAAAGTGCAGGTCTGGAAGGTGGACTGGCTGCAGTCCTTGTCAAACTCCAGCCTGTGTTGAGCTTTTATCACCAAAAAGGAGCCAACGGTCCTGGAGAAGGTTAAAAACAAGAAGAAGTCCATGTCAGATGACAATGAAACATCTCGCTCTTTCGCCTCATTAGCAAAAAACACAGTGACACACACACTCTCTCATTCACACACACACATACGCAGAGTTGTCTGACTGACTGACAAGGACTCTCTTCACTCTCTGTTCTCTGAACAGAAACAGACGGCAAAGGCTTTAATATCTGTCTGGCTCCTCCCCGCCGACCAATCACACGCCAGGCCTGGAGCCCCACTGGGCCACAGGGGGCGGGGTGGCAGCCGGGAGGCAGTCGAGCATTGGTTCACCTCGTAAGGGATTCTGACCAATGGGACCCTCCCCCCTAACAGGGCAACAAAACACTGAGGCAAGAGTTTTCATTCAAATGAAAATTCTTTGAAAGGGAGAAAGGGGGAGAAGAAAGAGGGGAGGGCTGGGGGGAGACAACGTTCAAACCAGCTGCAATTTTTTACATTGACTTGCATCAAGCTCAGCAGGGTGCTATGAAAACCCTGAAAAAAAACCGTGAAAGGCTCCATAACTGTTTATCTTGTTCAGCTCTTTGTTTGCATCAAATAGTGGAAAAACAGGATTAGCTGAGGGTTAGGTCTGCTTTAATATAGAAATGCTCTCCACAAAATGGGAACAGCTTTCCTGAAGTGTCTCAGTTTATAAATAGAAATTTAAAAAGGAACTGGATGCTGATGAGGTTTTATGCCGATAAAATACCAAAAGTTCAACCAAAGTCCTGACGGGTCAAAGGCACCGTTCATTGTTGAGGGTGAAAAAACCAGACAACAAGAAACAAACGTTTCTACAGTTTCTCTCGGCACTACATGTGTTTTAACCACAGCCACCAGAAGTACAAGGATTGTTTTCAACCTCAAATAGTTACTCTGTTCAAGTAAGAACTGTGAGGGAGAACTGGAATTTTAGTTTCAAGCACCATCTTTTAAAAATATAGTCTTCGATCATATCAAAGACAGTTAAAAAAAAGTACCAATAGAAAAATAAATAGAACAATACTCAAATGAAGAGAATAAAGAAATGATTAATATTGAATGCCATCTGAGTGACAACACATGTAATATGATGTTTCTGAGTTATGTTGACGATTACCACCAAACTGGATTACAGAACATGTACATTGTTCGGAAAAACAGCCGCTCCGCCCCGACCTTACCCAAGACCTCACTGCTCTCCATGGTTACATCACACCCAGGCAATCGTCTCTACCCCTCCTCCTTACCTCACCTTACTCTCAACATATCTATCCACACATTTTTAATGAGTCTTTTTATAGCTGCCTTCATTTGCTGCCTCCTTTAACATGTGATCCTCCTGACTCCCTCTCCCTCACCCATCACTGAGCAGCAGATCAGCAGCTGAAGGAGAGGGAAATGCAACCATGACAGCTTAAGCATGGACACACACACTTTATTTATTTATTTTATTTTCAAACCCACAAGCCTTAAGCATGGACACACACACTTTATTTTATTTTTTTTATTTTCAAACCCACAAGTGCAGTGTTAAAGTCCTTCCTTTGCTCTTCACTAGAAGACAAACCTTACTTAGACTGCTTTAAAATAGCCCAGCACATTTGACTAAGGAAATAATGATTCAAAAACCCATCCTACCAAAGGCATTTAAACTAATTCCTTACAGAAACACAAAGAGAGGAATCCTTCCAATGGCAAGACAATCTCTGGTTTTATTGCCAAATACAGAAGCACTGATTAGTGAGTGTGAGTTGGGGGAAGTCAGAAGTCTCCCAGATGAGAGAGCAGATGAAAAAAATAAAATAACATTGCTGGTAATAGAGACATTCGTAAAGAGATAAATTATATGAGGACGATGAATCAACACCCACACAATACAAATTTTTAGGCCTATAGAGCTGCTCGTTATCAGTCAGGATAAAGAAAAACTACTTTTGATTTCTTGATTTTTTTTGTACCTTGATCCTAATTTTTTGGGGAAAAAAATGAGGTTCACACAAATTATGTGTGGGCCTCTAGCTCATTACTAGCTCATAAACTGAAATTGTTTTCTTTAATAAAAACACATCACCGTTTATCTCCACTCATTACCAGTAAAACTGGTCTGGTCTATGCTAACTGTCAATGTATTAAACAACATTTCCTCCCACATCCTGTTTGAACAGTTGAACAGTTGAGGCGATTCAAAGACCTGAAGTCTTGGTTTAAAAGTTGATCACAACCACAATTTTAGGAGCATACCGCCACCTACTGTACTAGAGTGTGTAGTCTCATGGTATAACCACTGACTTTTTTGAGATAACACAGCCTACTCATTTTTAATTTTAACCAATGCCAACTGTCACTCATTTGAATCAATTTTCAATCAATTCAGGATGCATCATCAAATCGCTACTCACAGTGAAACGGTTTTCATTTAGAGGGCAGATTTTTTTCCATGTTTGGTTTTGCCAACAACAGTTAATTTGCGTGTTGATTGTTTCACAGTTGTCTAGTGGACACAGGGTCAAATCATTTATAGCAGCTTAATAGTGTGTCCTACCAAAAGGAAACATTTATTGATGCATTCATTTTACATGTGCTAAAAAAAAAACTAAAAAAAACAAAAGCCATTTTACATGTGCTAAAAAAAAAAACTAAAAAAAACAAAAGGCTGTGTTTACTGTTGGAGGCCACAGTGACCAACGTCTCCTGTGTGACATAATTTGAAATGACTAATTTTCTTAATGGACAATGGTTCCTCAGAGGTTTTGCAAAGCACCGCAAACTTCAATTAAGTATCCATGTCTCCGGCTGCCTCAGTACCTCATACAACCAGTTTTCAGAACTGCCTTCCAACCACACAGTAGTGCACAGACTGTTGGAGGCCACAGTGACCAACGTCTCCTGTGTGACATAATTTGAAATGACTAATTTTCTTAATGGACAATGGTTCCTCAGAGGTTTTGCAAAGCACCGCAAACTTCAATTAAGTATCCATGTCTCCGGCTGCCTCAGTACCTCATACAACCAGTTTTCAGAACTGCCTTCCAACCACAGAGTAGTGCACAGACGTAAAAACACACTCAGTCAGCAATGGTAACAAAACTGTAACCGCACCGACAGAAGTTCAGCTGAACGAACCTTTGTTACATTAAGGCTTCATTCTTTTTTATGTCTAAAAGGTGACATTCACAGACACAATAATGCTTCTATGACACTTCTATTCAGTCATTCTGATTTATAGAGGGCTACTGTGGTGCAGTTTTAGGATTACCACCTGCCATGCAAAAGGATCCATATTTGATTCCACCTAGACCCAGATCTCATGTTGGGTTGCATCAGGAGGGGCCTCTGACCTTAACCCTCTGCCAAATGACTGTCCTGACTCCCTGATGAAGGAAACATCCAGAACTAAGCTAATATGTACGACACAGTTGTGTTTCTGGATGTACAGGATTTGAATCATACTCAACTGCTTTTCTTGGAATGTTTGGGAATTCTTTGACAATGAGGAGAGAGGAAACCTTTATCAGTAGAAACGGCCTTCTGGAAAGCCACTCATAACACTAACCTCAGTGTAGTTTTGCTAAAGGTAATTATAGTAGCTTGTATACACTACGAGTCCGTTCATAGAACCGTGTCCTATACAGAAAGACTTTACCAGAAAGGGTGAAGACAAAATGTCTGGTCACAGAAACCTCAGTTACCTCAGGTTTCCAGTGCCGTGGCCTTGTCATTACTCGTCCAACGGCCTCTCTTAGAGAAAACACATCTTTATGGTCCAGATTTAGATCCAGAGTCTTTTCATGTCCACAAAAAGACCAATGGACAGACTTTGTCATCGGGTTGCACAGAAATGACACAAGTACTTTGACAGGAGGTTCCCCGTCTCAGCGAGGCGTGTGGTGACATGATAGACGGACACATACGGACCAGATTGTTTCATCATTAAGGAATTCAAGGATAACAGTAATGACACACGTGTTATTACAGTGGACAAATCACCAGGAGGGAAATCCATCAAACATGTTTAAACACAATGTGGTATATGTGGTACTGACACATACTTCCTACAATGTATGAGTATTTGGATCACATTCAGTTCTCCATCCATCAAAAATCCTTGGAAAAAGCCATTTTTATTCATTGAAATAAATACTAAGGAGTTGTCTTCTTGTTGTCCCGAGTCATACAAGGGAAAGAAGAAAATGATGTGAAACTAATTTCTTTTTTAGGACTGCTGGGATCCATTCAGCCTATTGGTCCTGTTTTCTAAACTTTCCATCTTTTGAATTTTTCCATTAAGGTTCTGTTCCGTTCTGTTCTGTTCAGCCGTCACAGTCACAAACAGCTGATGTCTCCGCAAGCAGTAAGTGCACCACAGGCATCAACCACAGTGACAGACCTAGAGAATATTTCTACTGCATGATGGAAAATTTCTTGGTTGAATTATCCTAAAAACTATGCAAAACCGCTGTGCCGTTATGAATCTGCCTGCTTTTACACTCTGGTTTTCAACCACCATATTAGTGGGCAACGATATGACTTATGACTAATGCTCTTTGTGTTTGTGAAAAATATTTAGGGTTTTTTTTGGTTGTATTGAAGTAACTTGCAAGCACCAGAGATGAAGTTCCAGTTGTGTGTATGTTTAAATCCAGATCCATGTTGATATGAGTATGTTCTAAAAGAACATGCAGAAAAAGGCAGAGATGACTGGCTCCATACCACAGCTGAATGGATACAGTCATCTACTAACTGGCCAGCGTAACACTAATTATAGGGAGAGCCCATGACTGGGAGCAATTTTAGTCGGCAGTATTTTCTACCACTCCTGCCAAAGAGTGACGAAATGAAGTGCAAACATTAGCACGTGAGGAAGTGGATTTTAGGACAAGAAGTTATGGAGAAGCACATGATGTTGTTTTCTGCACTTCTTTTCCTTCAACAAGACACGAGAAAACAAAACAGGAAAGCCATGTATACCCAAGGTCCAAACATTAGAAAAAAGGAGCGAGTTGAACCGTCCTATCACAACGACCTTGGTCCCAGCGGACATTGACCTGAGATTGAATAGTAAACAAAAGAAGCGCACGTCACTAGGAATACGCTCTTTCAAAAGATAAATACAAAGAGAAACCACTACTTTGCGCTGTATAATGCCGTACATGGTTTTACTTTTACATTATAGGTGTTTTCTATAATATGCAGAAGGTTTAGAATTAGATCATTATTTAGAAAAGTGTGAGAAAAGTTTAGTAAAGTTTGGCTAGGACTAAATGATGGAAACACTGCAACTTAACTTGACTTGACACTATTTTTGTGGTATGGAATGTTGGGCATGTGCTTTTGGCACATCTACCTCGAGTAACCTGCTGGATGCCTCAAGACATGATGAATATTTTTATCAGAATTTTTTTTTTCCCAATCGAAAGAAATATTCACCGCCAATTTTGAGTGAAAACACATGTTTGTGTGTCCGTGTCTTATATGAAGTTTTGGGGTAGGTATGTCAGCGGGTCATTAGCCACTGTGGGATGAGAAGGAAGCAATGACTCATTCCTCAACAGGAAATGACTGACAAAGACCAAAACAAATAAACAAGCTCAGTTGGAGTGTTCACCTCTGACTGTGAGTGTGACAAGCAGACTGACCCTGTTTTTACGGTGACCTTTGCCCATCCGTTTCTATCCACTCGGACCTGCCTCTGTGCTGTCAAAAACACAGGGAGTTGTTGTAGTGGACCAGCACTTAACTCAACCAAATGGTTTATCTCGTAAAAAACTCTAACACAGTGTTTGTCTGGCTTTCAAACGTCCGACAAACCTTGTTTTAGTTGCAGATTAAACACTCTGAGCTTGACCGACTAAAGCATCTTGTAGGTTTACATTTATATTTCAGTTGGGGACCATAAGGTTCTGTGTATAGTGACTAAAGAACTGCCCCATCACCCTCCTGAGTCACCCCAGCTTCAGTTTTTAAGTCAATAAAAATCTTAAAAGAGGGGGTCAAAAGGTTATCAGCCACTCCCACCCAGGGCTGTTTTAGGGAGCACACAAGACAGCTAATGAAGACAGAGCAACAGCACAGACAGAATTAAACCGGTAAGGTTTTTACCTACCCCCAAACAGTTGGGACCTTGGAGCAAAATGACATTTATTGAGAATGGTGCTCTGCATTGTGGCTCAGTTATGTTCATTGTGCTGCAAATCAGCTTAAAGTGAGATATATTTCATCATTTAGATGACATTCTGCAGATGCAGCCTGGAGGGATTGAAAAGGCACCACAAATAAAGATGGAGAGCAGATGTTACACACACTGGTACTCACTCATTGACCTTCAAATGATCTTTCAGAGTAACCGAATGTTACATTTTACATTATTTTGAGTGTTTTACAGAATTTTGAGTGTGCTACATGTCATGTTACTGCATGAAAAAAACCTTGGATTTATTGGCTCCAAAAATGTAACTC